CCCACTCGTTCCAACCACGGCCGTCTCCAAGTAGGTCATGTTACAACTGTGTCACGGACTAATTTTTTTTGTTGGATCGAAACAGACAAATTACCGTTGCTCGTGGTTTTGAGTACTTAAAAATATATTAATCATGCTTCTTTGTTGATTCCAGTGAATAATCAATGTTATACAACTCATTTGATACAACGACAACACATCCCACCCCACCCTGGACTGCAAGTACTTTGAAAATATCCAAGTTTGGCACTGGTAGCACAGTGTTAATATGAATATGCAGTTTATAATCTGTTTCTTGTAGGGAGGGGGGGGGGAGGAAGGGTAGAGGTAACATACTTGTGTTTGTTCGGATGACTTATTAACTGCGTCATTAGGTATATAAGTGCACTGTCAGGTTGCTATCTTATTTTACAACCCCCACTCCCAGATCTATTCTCCCGTCCCCAGAGAATTTAGTTACTAGATATTTAAATTCGTTAACTTGCTTCGGGGAGCCGCCGTTGTGTAGCGACTAGACGCTCGCTTGCGGATCGAAAGATTGAGGGTTCGGTTCCTGACAGAGGCCAGACTTTTTTTTTTTCAAAAATGACCTTGACTCCCAGTTCGACCCAGCCTTGAGTGTGTACCAGGTGCAGACCTGGGAAGTAAAGGCGGCCGGCGTGATGCAGACCATATCCCTCATAAAGTGCCGTTTGATCTATAAAATATAGGTCTAGCCCAAATACCCAATACGCCTGAAAGGCATGAAAAAGAGTCCTTTATCTGTTCGTTTTTTTTTACTAACATGCATTGGGCAATTACCATTAAACACTATTACTAGCGAACTGGAAATTCTACTGACGTGCTCTACTTCAGTTTTACTCATTATTTCCTATTCTGCTGCCTTTCTAACCCCCAAAGGAGCATAGGCACTCAACTATCGCCAAGTCGTTCTATCCTTCGCTATCGCCTGCAGCTCTCTCCGTGTCCTCTCTTATCTTGTTAACTTGACTCTCTAGCTCCGTTCTCCTTGTGTGTGTGTGTGTCTGTGTGTGTGTTTGTGTGTGTGTGTGTGTGTGTGTGTGTGTGTGTGTTTGGTCTTTTTAAATTTTATTTCTATGCCCCTGTGGGTTCCAGTGCAAAAAAAAAAAAAAATTCTAGTTATACTGTTCTCGCCTCATGGCCCACTGATACTTGTTTGGTTCTCTCCCAAAACTCTACATTAGAGATTCTATCATTACATTTAATTTCCACTATTCTGCGCAGGCAGCGGTTCATTAATGTTTTTAGCTTTTTTAGTAATCGCTTTAGTTGTTATCCATGTTTCCGTTCCCCACAACCGTACTGATTTCACATTAGAAATAAAAATTATTTACTTTCTTGTTACATTTTCTGCATGCTGAACTTAACCCTTTCAAATCGTCTGACTGACCCAGTATCCTTGTGGTCGTTTTTCCTTGTCCATATTATCGACTTGCCAACTTTGCTTCCCCTGCCAACCTTATCTGCACGATGACTGAGCGACTCATGCCTATCACTGACCTTCCACTGCACCCCGCTCTAGGGCTATGACCTGGTTTCACCCTAGGCAATGGCCTCCCCGTACTCCTGTCCTATTTGCATTCTTTAGTCGCTGGTGAAAACCCCCAGCTTCTGGTTTCCTGTCACAAACACAAACGCCAACATCCGCCTATCATTTCTGCCCAGATTACCTTGCCAATCATTTAGCTTCCGGTTTCGCTGGCACTCAAGAAGTGATACACAAAGACAAAAAGGAAGAAAAAACAAAAGAGCAGAATTATCTTCCCTTTATAGCAATCAGCTCAATCTCAGTCACTGCTGGTCCTTAGCGCGGATAAGAAAGGAGGAGGACTAAACGAGAAGCAACCTCCCCAGACCCCTTAAAGCTCACCCGCCCCTTGTTGGAAAGGATGTAATTTCGGTAAATTTCTATTTAAGATATAGAAAGGATTACACGGGATAAAAAAGGACTGAATGAATAGACAGCCCTATTTCAGTGCCACAAAAACAGCACAACAGGACAACGGTGAAGGCGACGATGAAGCTTCTTCGCCACTCTCATCATCGTCCGACTGCAAGAGGCAGCATCCGATTGGGAACTTTGCCTGTGTGTATTGTTGCGCACGTAAAAAAATTCCTTAGCAGTGAAAAGAGTAAGTAGCCTAACGGCGCTGCCGGGATAAAATTAAGAGTTAAAAATCGCGCAAAAGTATTTAAGGATCCTTGGCGGTTCTACGGAGTTCGTGCACTGCGCTGAAATTTCTTCGGACTTGGGTGTAATTAGAAGTAGAAAGGAGCAATTATGGGTACTACACTTGTGCCATGTTGTTGATCCGTTGTTTAAACCAAACCAAACCGAGTCCTGAGTGCATTAATGTCAAATCTGGAGTCATCCAATCACTGTAAAGTGCCGTCTGTGCACCGAAGGTCAACGTAATCTATCTCTAACACTTACCGCCTGCGTCTTCAATGTGCACCCCAACATGATTTTTACGAACATGCCCCTGCTCGCACGCACTCGCACACACACACTCACACACACACAACACAATGAGCTGCCTAGGGCCAAAAAAAAAAAAAGCCTGGCATACATATGATACCACATCATCTAGTTTGAGAATGGAGGTGGAGGCAGTCACTGCTGCCTTCCGCTGGCTGGAGAATTAGCTGTACACACATGTTGTATTTGTAACCATAGAGCATGTTGGAAAAGGTGGAGACAGGCATGCCCCGTGCAGAGCTTTAGAGTTTACAGAGAACAGAAGGGAGAACCGGGAGGGGGGGGGGATTATGAGCTGAAATGCTGTACAAAGATTCTGAGGGGAAAAAATGGAACAGGTAGAAAACAAAAACTGACATCGTAAAAAAAATATGCAAATCAAGGACAATTAGCTAGTACACAGCATCTTGTCTCAGAAACGGGAATCGTTTGGCCATATAAAGCGGCACGGCGGACTGGAAAGAATAAAAACACAAAGCATGGGGCCAAGAAAGAGGAGCAGGGGCTGACCAGCATGAAAGTGGGCAAACAGTTTATTCACTGGCTATGCCAATAACATATACACGTGAAATAAATCGAAGTGAGCAAGTTCCTATATTCACGTAAATGCAAGCACCACCCTAGACCAGTGGTTCCCAACCTTTTTCAGGTTCCATCCCCAATATTTTTTTCAAGTTCCCCAACCTGTTTCAAGTTCTCCAAACTTTTTAAGCTTCCCCAAGCTTTTTCAGATTCCCCAACCCTTTTCAGGCTCCCCAAGTCTTTTCAGGTTTCCCAAGTCTTTTCAGGTTTCCCAAGTCTTTTCAGGTTTCCCAAGTCTTTTCAGGTTTCCCAAGTCTTTTCAGGTTCCCCAAGTCTTTTCAGGTTCCAGCCCAAACTTTTTCAGGTCTCCCCCCCCCCCCCCCCTTTCCGCCCCCCCCCCCTTTCCGCCCCATCCCAACCCAACAGAATAAAATGAGATTAAAAAGATTAGACAACAAGGAAAATGGCAATAACTTTTAACAAGAATTTGTCGAAAAACATCCATATTAAACAAAGTATCAAAAAGCACAAGAAACGATCACCCCCCCCCCCCTTTTCCCCCCTCCCAATAGTAATTAAGTATCCAAATATCAATGGGATTATAGACAGTTTTTATTTTTATTTTTATATCTGCTATTTTTGCTCAAATGTTTGGAGGTGACAGGTTCGATTTCCGGCACGGTAACTATAGCAACGGAAATCAGTCTCCACACCCAGCTGGCTATTTTGATTTCATGAAAGTTAAAGTTGAAAATCCGGATTACTGTAAGTACAAATGCTCTAAGTTTCAAACTTTCTTGACTCCCCCCCCCCCCCCCCCCATCTCTCCTCCACCGCCTCCCTCCCCCACCCTCAGGATGGGAACCCCTGCCACAGACACGCTGGAACCGTCTAATTATTTATGGGAAACAATCGATTTATTAGCGAATCTAACATATACAGCTCAATTAAACTTCACTTGTATTTTTCCCATTTCTTCTATTGTGCGTGAGAAATCTTCTTCATCTTCGCGTTCACCAGCTGTAAACTCCGGTGGAAAGTTCTGGTTGATCGCCCACTTCTGGACTGCAGTCCTGTTCCAAAACCTGAGTTTTGCGTGTGCATCCGTTTGACAGATCTGACTCATTTGTGTGCAGACTGCTGGTTCCTTGCCTCTCAGACAAATGCACTCTGACTTCGAAGGAAGCTCCCAATTAGTTGACTCCTACGACATGCTTTTGGGTAGGCAGTGGGTCTATTCTTGTTTTCCCTATAGTAGGGACCCAGAACCCACACGGGGATGCGTGAGAAATCACTGTTATCGTCATATTCATTATTGACATCATCCTTTTCTGCCGTTATACGTCGCAAAAATCATTATCTGCGCTAAATGCTAACAATATATCTTACCTGGTAATTCCCAAATCTTTCATTCCCCAAGTAACATAATTTTCGCTAGCAACAGATCTTATCCCGCGATCTCTAGATCTTACCTTCCTGGAAAACTGCCTGAAATAATAATTTACGCCAGCAACAGGCCGTACCCTCATCAGAAACAGCATGAAATCACCAATTACACTAGCAACAGAGCGTACCCTCGTGAGAAACAGCCTGAAATCATCATTTAAACAAGCAACGGACCGAACCCTTCTGAGAAACCGTCTGAAATTTACAATTTACACTAGCGACAGACCGTATCCTCAGGATAAGCACTAAGTCATTATTTACTTAACAAGAGACCGTATCCTCGTGAGAAACAGCATGGAATCATCATTTACACAAGCAACAGACCGCACCTTCAAGAGAAGCAGCCTGAAATCATCATTTACACCAGCAACAGACCGTATCTTCACGAAAAGCAGCCTGAAATCATAATTTACACCAGCAACAGACTGCACCTTCAAGACAAGGAGCATGAAATCATCATTTACATCAGCAACAGACCGCACCTTCAAGAGAAGCAGACTGAAATAATCTTTTACACTAAACCAGATCTTACCTCGTGATCCCCAGATCTCCTCCTCCTAAGGAAGGGCCGGAAATCATCGCCGTATCTAACAAAGTAATAGTAAGATATCAACCGGTCCAGAGGATCTCTGACAATGTTGATGTAGATAGGCAGCTTCTGTATACCAAACCTGTAGGAAGAAACCAGAAACGTGTGTTATTTAACCGCGACTAAAAGGATCCTTTTTCCCCCACACCTACAGGCGTACTGGGCATATAAAGTAACTTGTTTCCATAGTGAGGCGCACACGCCATTTGGAGGTGACAGGTTCGATTCCCGGCACGGTAACTATAACTTTCGATTTTTATGTTGTCTAGTGTGTTCTTCTATCTTTGTACTTTTTTCAGTGAGTACCGATCGATACACTTTCTTTTTGTTTATAAAATTTAATATACTGGGCATGTTGGGCTAAAGCTATACTGCTACAAACCAATCGGCATTCGGTGAATGACGTAATTAACATCACGCCGATCGTTTTTATTTCCCTGGTACTCACCCAAGTCTGAGTCGACATGGGAGCCAAGGTTTCTCTCTTTCTATCATACATAAACACACACACTCAAGCCCGGCTTCGTCATTACCAGAACCCACGACCGTCGGATCCGTCCGGGGGTGAAAGTCTAGCCGCTACGCCACGAAAAACACGACTTAAAAAAAAAAATAGGGAAGAGAACGGATATATAATTAGAAGTAAAACATAAAGCAAATGTGAGCTTTGCAAAACCACTTGCGATAAATAAGTGAAACAAAAATAATATAGGATATACTGCGGAAGGAAACAAACCAGAAGATGTCTGGAAAAACAGAAGAACTATCATCATCATCAGGTTCCGACTGGCTTGGACGATCATGCATCTTCACAGTCTGCGATCTCCTGCCGCATGTATCAGTTCGTGTGCTGACGACACACGTCCATGCCATGCAACAAGACTGTCAAGTATCTTCTCTCGTTGTCTTTCTCTATCCCTCATTCCACAGATCTTTCCACGGTGTCCCCCCCCCCCCCCCCCCCCCCCCCCCCCCCCCCCCAGTGATCTTTACAGGAGATATATAACCAAGCTAAATATAAACACACACAAAATGTGTACCGAATACTGATTCCCGCTGGACTGAAAGAGCAGAGCGCCTCTGTTCTCATTTATCTACACATCAACTTATTCGTGAGAGAGTAGAATGTTGAATTAGGTAGGAATCGACATCATGGCACTTGGGAAACTCCAATTAAGCACTTCGTCCCCATCTTAAGCAGCAAGCGAAGAGTTCTGACTCCGATGGTACCCAGAAACTGACTGTACATCCGTCTCTCCTTTCCCTTGAGTGCTGAGCGTCTTCCAGTTCCCCTGGTAACTCCCCGTAGCACCTAAACCACAGCGCAACGTGCCAGACGAAAAAGAAGAAGATGCACATGAGAGAAGACACACAATTTTCACCACCAGTTTGACGTCTTTCCCCCTGATAGCTAGTAGTTAACATCAAATCTACTCTAGATTCCGGTACCCATTATATTGTTCTTCTCTTTCTTCTTCTTCTTCTTCTTCTTCCTTTTCTTTCGCGAATCGCATATTGTAACAGATCTGATGGAAGCCACTCCACACAAAACCAAAGCAGACACTACATTTACATCGCCAGTTTGATGTCCTACCCCTGCACAGCTTTACAGACGGCAATCAACACCGGGCAATTATTTTATCCTTCTCTTCAAAGCCACCAGCCCAGCATTTCCCTCCCGCCTTCTCTATCGCAATCGTTTAGAAAATACAGTAAAATAAAAAAACAAATCTCCGATTAGTCATCAGAAGACGACTGCCATTAGGAATGGCTTACTTACTTACTTACTTAGTCGCTCCTCTTCTACCTTGGGGTGTAGAGGTTTGCCAGAGAGATCGCCAGACGTCTCTATCAGCAGTTTTCTTTCTGGCTTTGTTCCATTCCAGTCCTCTGTCAGTCAGGGACTGTCGGATGTTGTCTTCCCAGCGCACCCTGGGTCGTCCCGGAGGTCTGGTTCCCTGGTTCTTAGCCTCCCATGCTTGCCATGGTGGCCGATTTTCTCCCATTCTGCACACATGTCCAAACCATCGTAACTGTGACTGATCCACTCGGGTTAGTAAGGGCTGGGTATCAAGATCTTGACGTATTGTCTGATTGCGGACTTTGTCCCTTCTTGTCACTTGGACCACCTTTTCTCATGTATCTCATTTCCGAGGCCTGCAGCTGGCTTCTGTGAGCTGTTGTCATTGCCCATGACTCACACCCATAGGTCAGGACTGGTACATAGGTAGAGCGGTAAACAGCCATTTTCGTCCTCTTGCCAATTTCTCTTTGCTAAGAAAACCCTCGGTTTATGGCCTGGAAGAGTCTCCCAGCAGCTGCTTTTCGTGTAGCCAGCTCAGTCTTAATGCCTCCATTTTGGTCTAATACAACTCCAAGGTATTTGAACTGGTTAACCTGCTCCAACGCATACTGACCCATCATGATCTGGTGTTTCTTCTCCTCTCTTGAGATCACCATGGTTTTAGTTTTGGAGACACTGATGGTCATCCCTTTCTTTTTTCAGCTCTTCCTTCCAGACAAGTAAGTTGTACTGAAGGTGTGCCTCTGATTTAGCTATCAGGGCCACATCGTCTGCAAAAGCCAGCTCTGATATACAGATTGGTCTCATCTTCCAGTACCCTACAGAGTACTTCTTTGTCTTCTCCTTACAGGTCTTGATGACATCATCCATCATAAGAATGAAGAGGTAAGGTGAGAGAATATCACCTTGTCTAACACCGCTGGTGGTCTTAAATTCTTCTGACTTTTGGTCTGCTGTTCTTACATAATTTCTGCACTTTTTGTAGAAACTCTGTATTGCACTGATCAGGGGTGCTGGGATGTTTTTCCCTGCCAAGCAGTCCCAGAGCTTGTTCCAGGGTACCTTGTCAAATGCCTTTTCCAGATCCAAAAAACATAAGTGAATCTCACTCTTATATTCCAGGGCTTTTTCACTCATCTGTCTCAGTGTGAAGATAAGGTCTTGAGTACTTCGGTTTGCTCTGAAGCCGCACTGGGCCTCGTCCAGCTATTAGGAATGGCGCCGAAGGGAAACCCCAGACGCAAAAGGTTGAATGCGGCGGTCATCTGCCTAGAGCGGCAATTCAGATATTATCTCCCGCCATTGGTGAGAATCAGACGATACGTGAAGCACTTGTGCTGCAGATTCCATTAACTCTTACAGGACGTCAGTTTTCATTTCCGTCATTAACTCTTATAGAAAGGCAGTTTTCTTTTCCCCCCTCCCCTCATGTGGGTTCCGGCTGTAAACTCCGGTGGAAAGTTCTGGTTGTTCATCAACTTCTGGACTTTAGTCTTGTTTTGTAACCTGAGTTTCGCGTGCACATTCGTTTTACAGACCTGTCGTATTTGTATGCAGACTGTTCGTTTCTTGCCACAGGCAGATGCACTCCGACTTTGAAGGAAACTGCCAGACTCTTGCGACATGCTAGTTAAAAAGGGAGGGGGGATGTGCAGTGGTTCTATAGTTTCTGTTCTCCACAATGGTGAACGAACCCCACATGGGAAACACATTTATTATTATTATTACAATATTAAACTAGTATTAGGCTCCTCGATGACCTCTCCACTTTTGTCACAAATATATGGCTTGGGAGCTCTCCCCCCCCCCCCCCCCCCCGCCTCATGTTTTTTTATGTGCCAGTGAGCCGAAATCTAGGCGCATTCAGATGTAACTAAGTTACGATTCAGAAGGGGAGAAAACATAACAGGCAGGTTGGATGAGATCCAGATTGGTAATATTTCTCACTGCGCCTTTAAGGATACTTGTCTGTTATCTGTTTATTCTGCCGTTACATCTTTCCAGTTCCATTTATCTCACAGGTAATTACATTGTTCGTTGTTTCCCTTCTCCTATCGTATTTAAATGGGTCTGGCTGTATCTGATATCTATGATGTGCTTTCTTTGTCTTGACGTCTTTTAAAATCTTCTTTTCATTACTCACTTGGACTGGGAATGACATTCTTAGTCATCTAATACAGAGCATCTTTTGTGGCTTCAGCTGGTTTCTCTCCCCTTTGTATCCGGAATGCTTCAGGAACCTGACTGGCGAAACTAATCTTCTTCTTCTTTCTCTTCTTCTTCTCCTTCTTCTTTCGTTTGCTTGAACCGTAAAGTGTGGCTTGCATCGGTGTTTCTCTTGGCCAAAAGTTTGTGCCTTGAAATGTTGTACTGTGAACAGTCTTTGAAAACTAATCTTTTTCTCACTTTTTCTTTCATACTGTCTTCTTTATTTATTAATGCTATCACCGCTGCCTCTGTCAAAATGTATGATCTATGAAAATCTGTGACTAACCTGCAGGTAAATGTGAGTGATCTATAGGTATATGTGAGTGATCTGTGTGTATATGTGAGTGATCTGTGGATATATGTGAGTGATCTATGGGTATTTGTGAGTGATCTGCGAATATATTTTAGTGATCTATGGGTATATGTGAGTGATCTATGGGTATATGTGAGTGATCTATGGATATATGTGAGTGATCTTTGGGTATATGTGAGTGATCTACAGATAAATGTGAGTGATCTATAGGTATATGTGAGTGATCTGTGGATATATTTGAGTGATCTATGGGTATATGTGAGTGATCTGTGGATATATGTGAGTGATCCATGGGTATATGTGAGTGATCTGCGGATATATTCGAGTGATCTGTGGGTATATGTGAGTGATCTGTTGATATATTTGAGTGATCTATGTGTATATGTGAATGATCTGTGGATATATATAAGTGATCTATGGGTATATGTGGGTGATCTGCGGGTATATATGAGTGATCTATGGATATATTTGAGTTCTCTACAGATATATGTGAATGGTCTACAGATATGTATGAGTGATCTACGGATATATGTGAGTGATCATGTCTGATTTTGTGTCTAACCGCATCTCACATTATTCAGATATCTGACTCCGCGCAGAAAAACAAACAAAATGTTGACGTGTTTGTGTGTTAAAATTAAGGCATTTGTAACACGGTAATCACAAATTACAGAAGAATGCTGAGAATACCTTGGACAGCCAAAAAAGAACAACCAAGAGGTTTTGAAAAAGGCGGGAGCCCGAAGACAACCTATCACAGACATCAGAAGGAGACAGTCATCATTTTTCGGTCATGTTATGAAAAGAGGGAAAATAAAACATGTTGTGACCACTGGAAAAATCTGTGGAAGGAGGGATAGAGGAAGACAACGAGAGAAGATGCTTGACAGTCTTGTTTCGTGGCACGGAGGTGTGTCGGCACACGAACTGATACATGCTGCAGGAGATCGCGGATTATGGAGAGGCATGATCGTCCACGCCAGTCGGCAAGGCACCTGATGATGATGATGAATCACAAATGAAACTGACAGAAAACTGTACTAAAACACCATGTACGAGTTTGTCTAAATACTCCGACGGTAAGTTCTGGTTGCCTTTTAGGTTAGGATAAAAAGAAAAGTACTGGAGTTCTGTGTATACATCTGTTTTAGAGAGCTGGCTTACTTGGATGCAGATTGTTGATTTCCACAGTCCTATAATCAATCACAGCGTGATGCTGACCACATCACCCATCTTGTGCCGGTTAGTCTATACAAATATAGGTCTAGCCCTATATGCCTAAAGGCGTGGAGAAGGGTCCTCTACTTTTTTTTGTAATAATCAATCAGCAACATGCTCCATCCTGTAACAATGCATTATTTTCATAATCCATGAATCATCTTCCCACCCCCACCCCTCAAACAATACACACATAACCATTGTCCCTGTATACACTCCCCCTCCCTCCCTTCCTCCTCCTTCTCCCACAACAATGCATACATTCCCATAATCCATAAATAACCCTCCTCCATCGCTCCCCAAACAATACGCACATTTCCATAAATAACCCTCCACCATCCCTCCTCAAACAACCCACAACCCATAAATAACATTCCACCATCCCTCCTCAAACAACCCACAACCCATAAATAACCCTCCACCATCCCTCCTCAAACAACCCACAACCCATAAATAACCCTCCACCATCCCTCCTCAAACAACCCATAAATAACATTCCACCATCCCTCCTCAAACCACCCACAACCCATAAATAACCCTCCACCATCCCTCCTTAAACCACCCATAAATAACCCTCCACCATCCCTCCTCAAACAACCCATAAATAACCCTCCACCATCCCTCCTCAAACAACCCATAAATAACCCTCCACCATCCCTCCTCAAACAACCCATAAATAACCCTCCACCATCCCTCCTCAAACAACCCATAAATAACCCTCCACCATCCCTCCTCAAACCACCCACAACCCATAAATAACCCTCCACCATCCCTCCTCAAACCACCCACAACCCATAAATAACCCTCCACTATCCCTCCTTAAACCACCCACAACCCATAAATAACCCTCCACCATCCCTCCTCAAACCACCCACAACCCTAAATAACCCTCCACCATCCCTCCTTAAACCACCCACAACCCATAAATAACCCTCCACCATCCCTCCTCAAACAACCCATAAATAACCCTCCACCATCCCTCCTCAAACAACCCATAAATAACCCTCCACCATCCCTCCTCAAACCACCCACAACCCATAAATAACCCTCCACCATCCCTCCTTAAACCACCCACAACCCATAAATAACCCTCCACCATCCCTCCTCAAACAACCCCACAACCCATAAATAACCCTCCACCATCCCTCCTCAAACAACCCACAACCCATAAATAACCCTCCACCATCCCTCCTCAAACAACCCACAACCCATAAATAACCCTCCACCATCCCTCCTCAAACAACCCACAACCCATAAATAGCCCTCCACCATCGCTCTTCAAACAATACGCACATTTCCATAAATAACCCTTCACCATCCCTCCTCAAACAACCCACAACCCATAAATAACTCTTCTTCATCCCTCTCCAAACAATGTATACATTCTCACAACCCATAAATAACCCTCCTCCATCCCTCTCCAAACAATGTATACATTCTCACAACCCATAAATAACCCTCCTCCATCCCTCTCCAAACAATGTATACATTCTCACAACCCATAAATAACCCTCCTCCATCCCTCTCCAAACAATGTATACATTCTCACAACCCATAAATAACCCTCCTCCATCCCTCTCCAAACAATGTATACACTCTCACAACCCATAAATAACCCTCCTCCATCCCTCTCCAAACAATGTATACATTCTCACAACCCATAAATAACCCTCCTCCATCCCTCCCCAAACAATGCATACATTCCCACAACCCATAAATAACCCTCCTCCATCCCTCCCCAAACAATGCATACATTCCCACAACCCATAAATAACCCTCCTCCATCCCTCCCCAAACAACCCACAAATAACCCTCCTCCATCCCTCCCCAAACAACCCACAAATAACCCGCCTTCACCCCTCCCCAAACAACCCACAAATAACCCGCCTTCACCCCTCCCCAAACAACCCACAAATAACCCGCCTTCACCCCTCCCCAAACAACCCACAAATAACCCTCCTTCACCCCTCCCCAAACAACCCACAAATAACCCTCCTCCATCCCTCCCCAAACAACCCACAAATAACCCGCCTTCACCCCTCCCCAAACAATGCATACATTCCCCCAACCATTAAAAACCCTCCTCCATCCCTCCCCAGAAAATGCATACATTCCCCCAACCATTAAAAACCCTCCTCCATCCCTCCCCAAACAATGCATACATTCCCCCAACCATTAAAAACCCTCCTCCATCCCTCCCCAGACAATGCATACATCCCACCATTAAATTGCCCCACCCCCTCCCCCTCCATCCCTCCCCAGAAAATGCATACATTCCCCCAACCATTAAAAACCCTCCTCCATCCCTCCCCAAACAATGCATACATTCCCCCAACCATTAAAAACCCTCCTCCATCCCTCCCCAGACAATGCATACATCCCACCATTAAATTGCCCACACCACCCCCCCCCTTCATCCCTCCCCAAACAATGCATACATTCCCACAACCCTTAAATAACCCTCCCCCATTCCTCCCCAAATAACGCACATATTCCCATCGATAACCTGCCTCCACCCCGCCTCAAACGATGCGTATATTTCCATAACACATCAACGGAGGTATGGAAATTTTTCCAGTCAACATTACGGGTATTTGTGAGTGATCTGCGAATATATTTTAGTGATCTATGGGTATATGTGAGTGATCTATGGGTATATGTGAGTGATCTATGGATATATGTGAGTGATCTTTGGGTATATGTGAGTGATCTACAGATAAATGTGAGTGATCTATAGGTATATGTGAGTGATCTGTGGATTTATTTGAGTGATCTATGGGTATATGTGAGTGATCTGTGGATATATGTGAGTGATCTGTGGATATATGTGAGTGATCCATGGGTATATGTGAGTGATCTGCGGATATATTCGAGTGATCTGTGGGTATATGTGAGTGATCTGTTGATATATTTGAGTGATCTATGTGTATATGTGAATGATCTGTGGATATATATAAGTGATCTATGGGTATATGTGGGTGATCTGCGGGTATATATGAGTGATCTATGGATATATTTGAGTTCTCTACAGATATATGTGAATGGTCTACAGATATGTATGAGTGATCTACGGATATATGTGAGTGATCATGTCTGATTTTGTGTCTAACCGCATCTCACATTATTCAGATATCTGACTCCGCGCAGAAAAACAAACAAAATGTTGACGTGTTTGTGTGTTGAAATTAAGGCATTTGTAACACGGTAATCACAAATTACAGAAGAATGCTGAGAATACCTTGGACAGCCAAAAAAGAACAACCAAGAGGTTTTGAAAAAGGCGGGAGCCCGAAGACAACCTATCACAGACATCAGAAGGAGACAGTCATCATTTTTCGGTCATGTTATGAAAGGAGGGAAAATAAAACATGTTGTGACCACTGGAAAAATCTGTGGAAGGAGGGATAGAGGAAGACAACGAGAGAAGATGCTTGACAGTCTTGTTTCGTGGCACGGAGGTGTGTCGGCACACGAACTGATACATGCTGCAGGAGATCGCGGATTATGGAGAGGCATGATCGTCCACGCCAGTCGGCAAGGCACCTGATGATGATGATGAATCACAAATGAAACTGACAGAAAACTGTACCAAAACACCATGTACGAGTTTGTCTAAATACTCCGACGGTAAGTTCTGGTTGCCTTTTAGGTTAGGATAAAAAGAAAAGTACTGGAGTTCTGTGTATACATCTGTTTTAGAGAGCTGGCTTACTTGGATGCAGATTGTTGATTTCCACAGTCCTATAATCAATCACAGCGTGATGCTGACCACATCACCCATCTTGTGCCGGTTAGTCTATACAAATATAGGTCTAGCCCTATATGCCTAAAGGCGTGGAGAAGGGTCCTCTACTTTTTTTGTAATAATCAATCAGCAACATGCTCCATCCTGTAACAATGCATTATTTTCATAATCCATTAATCATCTTCCCACCCCCACCCCTCAAACAATACACACATAACCATAGTCCCTGTATACACTCCCCCTCCCTCCCTTCCTCCTCCTTCTCCCACAACAATGCATACATTCCCATAATCCATAAATAACCCTCCTCCATCGCTCCCCAAACAATACGCACATTTCCATAAATAACCCTCCACCATCCCTCCTCAAACAACCCACAACCCATAAATAACATTCCACCATCCCTCCTCAAACAACCCACAACCCATAAATAACCCTCCACCATCCCTCCTCAAACAACCCACAACCCATAAATAACCCTCCACCATCCCTCCTCAAACAACCCATAAATAACCCTCCACCATCCCTCCTCAAACAACCCATAAATAACCCTCCACCATCCCTCCTTAAACAACCCATAAATAACCCTCCACCATCCCTCCTCAAACAACCCATAAATAACCCTCCACCATCCCTCCTCAAACCACTCACAACCCATAAATAACCCTCCACCATCCCTCCTTAAACCACCCATAAATAACCCTCCACCATCCCTCCTCAAACAACCCATAAATAACCCTCCACCATCCCTCCTCAAACAACCCATAAATAACCCTCCACCATCCCTCCTTAAACCACCCATAAATAACCCTCCACCATCCCTCCTTAAACAACCCATAAATAACCCTCCACCATCCCTCCTCAAACAACCCATAAATAACCCTCCACCATCCCTCCTCAAACAACCCATAAATAACCCTCCACCATCCCTCCTCAAACAACCCATAAATAACCCTCCACCATCCCTCCTCAAACAACCCATAAATAACCCTCCACCATCCCTCCTTAAACCACCCACAACCCATAAATAACCCTCCACCATCCCTCCTCAAACCTTCCACAACCCATAAATAACCCTCCACCATCCCTCCTTAAACCACCCATAAATAACCCTCCACCATCCCTCCTCAAACAACCCATAAATAACCCTCCACCATCCCTCCTCAAACAACCCATAAATAACCCTCCACCATCCCTCCTCAAACCACCCACAACCCATAAATAACCCTCCACCATCCCTCCTTAAACCACCCACAACCCATAAATAACCCTCCACCATCCCTCCTCAAACAACCCATAAATAACCCTCCACCATCCCTCCTCAAACAACCCATAAATAACCCTCCACCATCCCTCCTCAAACAACCCATAAATAACCCTCCACCATCCCTCCTTAAACCACCCATAAATAACCCTCCACCATCCCTCCTCAAATACCCATAAATAACCCTCCACCATCCCTCCTCAAACAACCCATAAATAACCCTCCACCATCCCTCCTCAAACAACCCATAAATAACCCTCCACCATATCTCCTCAAACAACCCATAAATAACCCTCCACCATCCCTCCTCAAACAACCCACAACCCATAAATAACCCTCCACCATCCCTCCTTAAACCACCCATAAATAACCCTCCACCATCCCTCCTCAAACAACCCATAAATAACCCTCCACCATCCCTCCTCAAACAACCCATAAATAACCCTCCACCATCCCTCCTCAAACAACCCATAAATAACCCTCCACCATCCCTCCTCAAACAACCCATAAATAACCCTCCACCATATCTCCTCAAACAACCCATAAATAACCCTCCACCATCCCTCCTCAAACAACCCACAACCCATAAATAACCCTCCACCATCCCTCCTCAAACAACCCATAAATAACCCTCCACCATCCCTCCTCAAACAACCCATAAATAACCCTCCACCCATCCCTCCTTAACAACCCATAAATAACCCTCCACCATCCCTCCTCAAACAACCCATAAATAACCCCTCCACCATCCCTCCTCAAACCACTCACAACCCATAAATAACCCTCCACCATCCCTCCTTAAACCCACCCATAAATAACCCTCCACCATCCCTCCTCAAACAACCCATAAATAACCCTCCACCATCCCTCCTCAAACAACCCATAAATAACCCTCCACCAGATCCCTCCTTAAACCACCCATAAATAACCCTCCACCATCCCTCCTTAAACAACCCATAAATAACCCTCCACCATCCCTCCTCAAACAACCCATAAATAACCCTCCACCATCCCTCCTCAAACAACCCATAAATAACCCTCCACCATCCCTCCTCAAACAACCCATAAATAACCCTCCACCATCCCTCCTCAAACAACCCATAAAATAACCCTCCACCATCCCTCCTTAAACCACCCACAACCCATAAATAACCCTCCACCATCCCTCCTCAAACCTTCCACAACCCATAAATAACCCTCCACCATCTCCCTCCTTAAACCACCCATAAATAACCCTCCACCATCCCTCCTCAAACAACCCATAAATAACCCTCCACCATCCCTCCTCAAACAACCCATAAATAACCCTCCACCATCCCTCCTCAAACCACCCACAACCCATAATAACCCTCCACCATCCCTCCTTAAACCACCCACAACCCATAAATAACCCTCCACCATCCCTCCTCAAACAACCCATAAATAACCCTCCACCATCCCTCCTCAAACCACCCACAACCCATAAATAACCCTCCACCATCCCTCCTCAAACAACCCATAAATAACCCTCCACCATCCCTCCTTAAACCACCCATAAATAACCCTCCACCATCCCTCCTCAAACAACCCATAAATAACCCTCCACCATCCCTCCTCAAACAACCCATAAATAACCCTCCACCATCCCTCCTCAAACAACCCATAAATAACCCTCCACCATATCTCCTCAAACAACCCATAAATAACCCTCCACCATCCCTCCTCAAACCACCCACAACCCATAAATAACCCTCCACCATCCCTCCTCAAACCACCCACAACCCATAAATAACCCTCCACTATCCCTCCTTAAACCACCCACAACCCATAAATAACCCTCCACCATCCCTCCTCAAACCACCCACAACCCTAAATAACCCTCCACCATCCCTCCTTAAACCACCCACAACCCATAAATAACCCTCCACCATCCCTCCTCAAACAACCCATAAATAACCCTCCACCATCCCTCCTCAAACAACCCATAAATAACCCTCCACCATCCCTCCTCAAACCACCCACAACCCATAAATAACCCTCCACCATCCCTCCTTAAACCACCCACAACCCATAAATAACCCTCCACCATCCCTCCTCAAACAACCCACAACCCATAAATAACCCTCCACCATCCCTCCTCAAACAACCCACAACCCATAAATAACCCTCCACCATCCCTCCTCAAACAACCCACAACCCATAAATAACCCTCCACCATCCCTCCTCAAACAACCCACAACCCATAAATAGCCCTCCACCATCGCTCTTCAAACAATACGCACATTTCCATAAATAACCCTTCACCATTCCTCCTCAAACAACCCACAACCCATAAATAACTCTTCTTCATCCCTCTCCAAACAATGTATACATTCTCACAACCCATAAATAACCCTCCTCCATCCCTCTCCAAACAATGTATACATTCTCACAACCCATAAATAACCCTCCTCCATCCCTCTCCAAACAATGTATACATTCTCACAACCCATAAATAACCCTCCTCCATCCCTCTCCAAACAATGTATACATTCTCACAACCATAAATAACCCTCCTCCATCCCTCTCCAAACAATGTATACACTCTCACAACCCATAAATAACCCTCCTCCATCCCTCTCCAAACAATGTATACATTCTCACAACCCATAAATAACCCTCCTCCATCCCTCCCCAAACAATGCATACATTCCCACAACCCATAAATAACCCTCCTCCATCCCTCCCCAAACAATGCATACATTCCCACAACCCATAAATAACCCTCCTCCATCCCTCCCCAAACAACCCACAAATAACCCTCCTCCATCCCTCCCCAAACAACCCACAAATAACCCGCCTTCACCCCTCCCCAAACAACCCACAAATAACCCGCCTTCACCCCTCCCCAAACAACCCACAAATAACCCGCCTTCACCCCTCCCCAAACAACCCACAAATAACCCTCCTTCCCCACTCCCCCCAAACAACCCACAAATAACCCTCCTCCATCCCTCCCCAAACAACCCACAAATAACCCGCCTTCACCCCTCCCCAAACAATGCATACATTCCCCCAACCATTAAAAACCCTCCTCCATCCCTCCCCAGAAAATGCATACATTCCCCCAACCATTAAAAACCCTCCTCCATCCCTCCCCAAACAATGCATACATTCCCCCAACCATTAAAAACCCTCCTCCATCCCTCCCCAGACAATGCATACATCCCACCATTAAATTGCCCCACCCCCTCCCCCTTCATCCCTCCCCAAACAATGCATACATTCCCACAACCCTTAAATAACCCTCCCCCATTCCTCCCCAAATAACGCACATATTCCCATCGATAACCTGCCTCCACCCCGCCTCAAACGATGCGTATATTTCCATAACACATCAACGGAGGTATGGAAATTTTTCCAGTCAACATTACGGGTATTCCCGTAAAACTCTGTTGACAACATTAGTTATATTTTTCGAGTCCGTGATTTACGACTTTAACGTGAAAGCTTCTCTGCAACCGGTTCTCAAACTATAGTGAATGGATCGCAAGATGAGTCTACTTCATTTACAGACAAGAAAACACTCAAACTGTTTAAATAGGGTGAAGATTATCAACACTGCCTTGTCAGTTAAAGCTCTGATACATGTAGATACAGGAAAGTAATACTAGCCAGAATGGGCTGTAACAGGTAAGGACCGTAACTCAAAGATATCAGACAAAGCTGTCTTGGACACTGAGTCCCATAGGTATGTTGCAGCATATTAGATAAACAATCCGGTTTTCAACAGACCTGTGCGGCTTCGTGGCTTAGAGGTTAGCGAATGCGGTTAACAATTCCTTGATCTTCAAGTACTAGGGTTCTATGCTGAACGATTTAAAAAACAAAATCTTTCTCGTGGTTTTTGGTCAGTGGATCTAGAATCGCACCGTGAAAGAAAAGGGCGCCTCACTACATAATATTGCCAAAGACAACACCGGTACACTAGCTAAACTTCCTTGTGGAAACGGTACAGCATCTTCAAGAGACTTGCGTACTCTGTCATTGCAGAGGCTAGACTGGATGGCCGTGACCTCCATGACGAAGACGCCTTGGTGACCCTCTATAGCAGCGGTTCTCAAGCTATGACTCGTGACTCTTTTGTAAGTCGAACGACCCTTTCACAGGGGCCGCCAAAGACCATCGGAAAATACATATTTACTGAAGTTATGAAGTAGCAAACGAAAATAATTGTATGGTTTGGGGTCGCCACAACAGGAGAACTGTATTAAAGGGTCGCGGCGGGTACCCCAACCCACCAGGAGTGGAACCCATCTATCTGAAGCTATCTGTCGCTCTCATTCTTCTGACTTAACTATCAAATCTCCTGACTAATTCGAGCAAATTAGTTCTCTCATTTGCAGCCTATCTTACCTCCACTACTTCTCCACACTCTGCGGGGAAAAAAAACAGGGCTGCTCACAACAGATTGTGACGGCCCTGGTTGTCCTGAAAAGGAGCATTGTTGGAGACGTTGTGACCTGGTGTTTGTTTGGCTTTTCCCGGCGGCTTTACATAACGGCAACCAAGCAGCAATAGCGCAGCGATCAGCACGAGGTAAACCAAGCACCAGCAACAATCAGCTAGAACCCACATATATCAGCACTAAGAGAACTGGACCACAACAGACCCAAAAACCACAAGCACCACACCACAGCAAGGAAGCAAAGAACCGGAATATCAGGTGTGACTACACACCACAAATAAAAGGAAACCAAATAAGATAGCCAAGGAACCTTCCTTCATAGCAGGCCTCCGGGCAGCTGAAAAAGGATTCAAGAATTTTTGTTGGACAACTGGATTAGGGATATGAATCTGCAGAACTGCAGCACCGCCTATTATTTATTACTTGACGTCACTGATAACATTCAATATAATGAGACTCCCTCACCCCTCCCATCGCCCCAATTCGTTCTCTATACGTGTACAGTGTTTCTTCTTCTTCGATCCTTCTGTCAGAAAACTTATTTCAGGAGGCCAGTAACCATTTAAAAAAAAAAAAAAAAAAAGTAAAGTCGGGAGATGTGAACCAGCATCAGTGCACACGGTTATAAACCATAAGTGCTCTGCTACCAGTACGGACTGCTTATAAGAAACTGTCCGCCTGTGTCGCTGTCCGCACACAACTCCGCAGCTACAGCGACGTTCCTTCATTTACCCCAGAGTGTTAACTTTGGTACCCATTACCTAGAGGCTGAGTGAACCCGGAGAACCGCCCGCATTTGAACACCGGCCGTGGACTGCTGCGAGTCGCAGGTGGATGTGAAAGCGAGTTTCCTATCGACTGCGCTTACACGGTCCCGCAACCATTATGAAAGCTATCGTGCACTCCATATCTCCTCGTGTACCATACAACGTTGTTTTCATTGTGGTTGGAACAACTGTAACTTCCCTAAACTTGCAGTAGCCATATCCTAATTAAAACCAAAAAAAAAAAATTATTATAAAATCATAATAGTTACAAAATCCTCACATGAAACTGCATGTTTCAAGGTTTCAGTGGTGTCTGGCTGTAGTGCGAAAGAGCACAATTTCGAGATAAGAAGCTATACATAAGTTTAAAAAAAAAAGAGGCGCTGCCGCAAACGCAGTGGCGGTCCTATTTTTATTAATCTTTTCGCGTAGTTTGTTTCAGTAATCACCAGTCGTGGTAAAAGTAACGTTGGTCTCCCCAGACAAAGTAGGTCACGTTTCATTCATAAGTTTTTTCGGCTGGTCTACTCTCCTGCAGGTTACGGGTGTGCCGCTCTGTTGTTTTCTTTCTGGGTTGTCTTGCATTTATGTTTTCATTCCGAGAAAGAGAATGTCTGTGCCATAGGTTGCAGCACTCTCTAGGGGGATTGTGTTAGACCCAGTTTGTCTATGTTTTTGGAGTGTTAAAAGCGCTGGCGTGCTGAAATATACAACACGCGATATCAACGGTATTGCGAATAACCCAGTAACCCTGTGCCAAAGTAACGTGGCTCAAGGTCGACCAATCAGAAGTAAGTTAGTGTGTAACTGTGTGAATGGGGAGACCAACGTTAGTTTTACCACTGTCGCATTTGACAATATATACATCTTCCTTTCCTCACAGTGTCCCGTAACCACGACAATCTCGGAACCGCTCTTCAAAATAAACAAGTCTTGCATTCACCCACTTGTCTACATAAAACAAAACAAAAATCTACTGCAAATCCTACATGAAGCCTCCGACATTCTGAGAAGGTCATGTTCAACCTCCATTTTTATCTCCCAACCCCTGGTTATGAACATCACATGCAATTCTACAACTATCACGCGAACCTGTTGAAATCGTATCATGTCTCTTGATTTATAATGGTCCATAACTCCTTTCACTTTTTTTTTCTTCAAACACGGTCAGACGTTGCCTCTGGATATATGAAAAAACAACTATTACGAGAAAGGCGTGCACACTGTAAACAGTCTTCAGAGAAAGCATGTAATAGTACCGGTGCGACTCGGTTTTTTTCCATAGTTACGTAGGAGTAGCACTGACAAGAATCATAACCAACAAGTAAGTAAAACGAAGAATTGTACAGGAAATGGTAGTCGGCAGGATATCGTTATATTAAATGTAAAGGAAATGGGAGTGGACGGAATACTGCTTGTTATATCAGTGGTTCTCAAACTGTCTAATGCTGCGACCCTTTAATATAGTTGCCCATGTTGTGGCGACCACAAAACATAAAATAATTGCACCACAGAGGGATCTGTTATTCAGACACTGCGAAAGCAGGACTGGATGTCGACAAGGCTAGCGATCGAGTGAAATCCTTGTTTGAGCTTGTGAATACCAGCATCGATATAGAATGTATCAAGGCTCGCATCCTATGTCTCTTCAAAACGAGCTTAAAGGCAGAGCCGGACTAAAGGAGAAGAAGGAGGAGGAGGAGAAGGAAAAGAGGAAGGAGGAGAATAAGAAGGAGGAAGAGGATAATGAGGAGGAGGAGGAGAAGAAAAAGAAGGACAAGAAGGACAAGAAGAAGAAGAAGGAGGAGGAGAAAGAAGGGGAAGGAGTACAAGAAAAAGGAGAAGGAGGACAAGAAGAAGAAGGAGGAAAGAATGAGGAGGAGAGCACGAACTTTGTAACACGAACTCCAGTTCCATGTAATTCGTGTTAACATGGTTTTACTTAACATTCTAGGTATTATACAGTACAAGCCATCATGGAAGCCGCCGTGTTGTAGAGGCTGTCGTGGTATAGGGGCTAGATTCTCGCCTGCGGATCAGAATGTTATAGCTTCGGGTCCCGACGGACCCAGATTAGTTTTATTTAAATGACCTTGGCTTCGAGGTTGATCCAGCCTTGAGTGGAAAGTAAAGGCGACCGGCGTGGTGCTGACCATCTCACCCACCAAGTGCCGACCGGTCTATAAACTATAGGTCTAGCCCTATATGCCCAATAAGCCCCAAGGCGTAGAAAATTGTCCTTTATTGGCTCTAATTTTACGAACAGGCCATCACTATAAACACAACAGAAAAGATGGTTCCCTCCCTATTCTGAAAGTACAGATACTGTAATATGGAAATCTAATATTGATAAAACGACGGCTGGCCAAGGGCAGGCCATCTC